TAATATTACAACTTCATTCTCGTAAAATTCCGACTATTCTCGTAATATTTAGACTGTTCTCAAAGTCTATAGTAAAATCTTTATCTTAATGTGGACCTAATACTCCGTCATATAATATACCGGTTTTTTGTTGTTTTTTTGCTGCTTACCACTTGATTATTTTCCACAAACCGTTCTCATAAATATCTTAGATCGGAGTTTTTAATATTCACATGAGCACAAATAAAACAGATTTAACCATGAAGATCTCAGTTTACAAAACCAGGTTATTTTATGTAGAAATTAAAATCAGATCTAAGTATAACGTGATGTTTTTTTTTTTTCCTCCAGAGATCAGAACAAATACAAAGAAGCAGCGAACCTGCTGAACGACGCGTTGGCCATCAGGGAGAAGACTCTTGGAATGGACCATCCGGCTGTACGTTACTGCACACTTTAATTAAAAAAAGCTGCTTTATGTGGCACAGTGTGTAACAAGATGGTTTAACAACACCCTAAACTGGACGGCATTTTCTTTTCTTATCTTTATTATGATCTGTTGTTTGCTCGAAACATAAAACTTTATTGGCAGCGAGAAACATCACAACAGAAATCTGATCCTCGTTTGTCACCAAGTTCTTTCTGCATGACCTAAAAATGTTGTTTCCCTTTTTTAAGGCCGTTTCATGTGGTTTGGATCAGAGTTTTTAAAGCGCTGCTTGTGTGTGCAGGTGGCGGCGACGCTCAACAACCTGGCCGTGCTATATGGGAAGAGAGGGAAGTACAAGGAAGCAGAGCCACTTTGTAAAAGAGCTCTAGAGATCAGAGAGAAGGTGAGAACACTCGTATTTATACTTCTACACTTCCTGATCCTCACTAATAGCTGACCTTAACCTTTTTTTTGACCAAATTTTAATCCTACACCCCAATTTTAAACCAAAGAACACCATAAACTCATTGTTCCTTCATGCATTTCTTTTAATATTTAGGGTCCGAGCACCAAAGGGTGCGAAGACCCTATTGGAACTGCTC